GGAAAAACTCTTTAGTAGTTAACTCACTTTTATTACAAATGAGAGAATTTAAATACAGGTAGCTTTTCATGGATCCAGATTCCAGAACTACTGAAACGCAAAGCTCCAAGTCATCCTGTCACCTTGCCGCCCCCACCCCCAGCTTTTATATTTTCCACTCTTCCAGCTATCCTCCTCCTCCTCCTCCTTCTTTTTCTTTTTCTTCCCAAATGAGGCCAGTACTTGGTGCATCTTGGAGATTATGAAAATGGCTCAACGTACTAGAGAATAGATCCCTTATTTGTACAGGTTGTTTTGTGGCTTTTTTTGACTTCCTTTAAAATAAATATAGCTTTAGGTAATAGTGATAACTGACATCCATAGAGCGCTTACAGAGGAGAGTCCTCATATTTTAGACCCAGTCAGTCCCTGCTCTCTGACACTGACAGTGAGCAGCGTTTTTCCAGGGTGGGTTCCTGTGACAGGGAATCCCGGAAGCTGGGGAAGCAGCACTAGGGACCTGGAAGATTTGTTTGGATAGGGATGCTTTGCAGTCCTGAGTTGTCTCTGATGTTCAGTTCCCAGGATGCTCTCCTAAGTCAGGTCTAGGTGGACTACCTCATCTAAAAAAAAGTTCATTATAATTGTCTTTTATTACCCGTATCTACTTTTGAATCTTATTTGTCTTTTGGGATTGGAAACATTACATAAATACATATATTAAAAAGGCAGATGATTTTTTTAAAAGAATGATAATTCAGTGCAGTTTGATGTAAATCACATATACTTCATAAGCTGGGGGCCTACGTGACTTGGGGCTGGCGAGCAGAAGGCAGGGTGGACAGATTGTTTCCAGAGGCCAATTCATTGAACAGTAGATAGCAGTGGTTCTTAACTGGAGGCGATTTTGCCCTTCCATGGAAGCTTTGTAGAGACATATGTGATCACACCCCCGGTGGGAGGGGGAGTTGGGAAGGGGCTGTGAGTGCTACTGCTATCTAGTGGGTGGCGTCTGGAATGCTGCTCCCTCTGCATGCTCCCCTGCACAGGATGGCTTCCCACAACAAAGGATTACCCAGCCTTCAGTGCCTGTATGCTGAGCCTGAAAGACCCTGAGCTAGAGGAAGCTCCTTGAATTACTGTGTATTTTATACATCTAGAAACTTAGGGAGGAAATAAGTCACACCGTGCTAACTTTTTCCTTTTGGGGTATGGGATACCATTTTTAGGGAGTCCTGGAGACTGTTTATCTGGATCTCGGTTGAGCATTTCACAAATTCTTATGGTATCTCTGTGAAGGTAAAAGACCCAAAGACTTCCATTAGGTTGATTTGGGGCTGGTTGTCTGTCTGTTCTCAAAGTCTCCTGATAAATCTCTGATGGCAGGAGGATGAGAGCCTGCAGGGACGTCCTGCAGAGTTCCATCCTTGGCCCTGTTTTATAAACAACTGGGATGAAGACTTCCAAGGAATGCTGATCAGATATGAGAATGATTTTTAAAAAAAATCTGAGAAGGGTAAGGTTCCAAAGGATCTCAACCACTTGGAAGAGTGATTTGCTTCATTGAGGGCACCACAGTTCCCCCATTGAGGTCAAGAGGAAAGCTGGTGTGTGTGTGTGTGTGTGTGTGTGTGTGTGTATGGACCGGATATTGGGACTGAAGCTGGGAAAACATGATGACAAGAAAAGAGAAAAGATGTGCTAACTTGGTGTATCAGAAGTGCTTTGAGGGAGAGGGAGATTTTAGTATGTACAGTAAGCATGTCTTTTAGGGAAAGTAGAGCCAAGAGGCAGAAGTGACAGAAAAGTAGATTTCAGCCTAACAAAAAGAAAGGTTAGCTAATAAAGATTAGAAGTGTTCAGAAGAGGGAGACACTGTCCTTTAGAAGACAGAGTTCTTACTTCGATGATAAAAGATGGCTTTTATCATAAGTGTTAAGGCAGATTTGCTGGTATTCTACTTAGAACATATTCTTTTTTTTACAAAGTTAAATTTGTTGCTACTGAGCATATACACAGTGAAACATACACCTATCAACAGCCTCCACAGGCACCATCCACTGACACAAATCCTCCCGAATGACATACATTCACTGCCCCCTAAAGTTCCGCACTAATATTTCAAGCTCTGTCAATTTGATCACATCTAATATGATCCTATAACGTTGACTTTCCAAAGGTTCATGGAAAAGTTCCACGATCTTTCCCTTCAGATGTTCCATGAACTTTTTTTTTTTTTTAGATAACCAGCCACTAGTTTTCATCCACGTTGACTGTCTGTAGGTTTTTGAAAGTGGTGACAGGCACGTAGGTAACCAATGTGTAGGGCTTGTTCAGGTAATCTTCATCCTCATTACGTTTCCTGGACAACCGCACTCGGATGCGATATGGAACATTCCTGATTCCTTTGGCCCACACAGCTTTGTTGAGCCTCGTGTCGATTCGTACATCGGGTGTCCCCATCTCCTTCATGGCAAACTTCCGAATCTCCTT